CGCCACCAGAACCTCATGCACTGACATGGTTGAAATACTTAAATAAAAACAAAAAAATTACTTACCCAATTCGACTACATCCGCGTAAGTAGCCCCTTCATTAATTTTTGCATATTTCGATTTATTAGCCAGTTGTATCTTGAATATCATTGTAAATAAAATAAAACAAAAACTAGTTAACACATGAAATAGGAAGCACGGCACCACTAAACGAAACGTACCCGATGATAAATGGAAATGGACGCTCCTCTCCCGTCCGAAATTCTGTCACCTGTTGCGGGCGACTCAAAACACTGAAGGGTGTAAAAGAAACAAATATCGGTGTCTTTCACACGCTTAGGTGTTAGTAAGACGTAAAGTTGGTATTAGACATCCTTTTAAAGGTATGTTTACACCAGCCAAACGATTTCCAACCAGTTTAAAATGATTTCCACACTATAGAAATCAAATTCACCACTTTTAAAGTTTAATTGACACTAATAAAATAAATGGATCTGAGTGTGTAAAAAAACTATATGGGTGTCTTCGTTACACGTATATGTGTTGATAAGCCACCAGATTGGTGTAATACATTTTTGTAAGGGTATATTTTCACTGATCAAATTGTCTCTAACCAATTTAAAATGATTTCCACACCCTTCACATCATATTAAAAAAATAATAAGATCTAATTGACACTGAAACACATAAATAGTCTGCGTGTTAATTTTTGTAGTCAATTTCATTCTCCTGGGTGTTAAATTTTACACTCCGCTATTTAACCACATCAAATATCATTTTCACCACTACTGCATTTTTTACTGTGCACATACCGTCTCCCCAGAGACTTTCTAAGCCCACAATAAAACCCACCATATTCCCTAATATGTCAGTGTTTTTTTCCACTAATTTGGAGGCCCTCAGCCTAAATTTTCTTTTTTTTAATTGATAACCTATTTTACTTATTTAAAGTACTCCTCAGCGCAGCGTGTTTAAATCCAACATTCAAAAACGCGCGTGTTTTAAAGTTACCATGACAACATCAACAACCCAAGAAAGGTAAAATCTAAATGTCAACTTTTTAATTATTAATTTTTCAGGAGTACTTGTAGATAACGTCAAATAAAATATAACAAGTGTTAAGCTTTATTTAAATAATCAACAATCCTAATTTTTCAAATGAATGTGAAAAGTACAGTTGGTATTGTTTGAAATATTAATACTTCTGTTTTTCAAGTCAGAGGAAATTCTGTTCAAGTTAGTACTGCTAACATTCTCGGAAGTCAGTGAGGTTGCACTTCCACTTATGGTACTCCCAATAATGTTTGAAACATTCTTCTTATTGGTTATACTTTCTTCAACGTAACCAGTCGCGACAGCTGCCGATTTCCATCCTACTTGGCGTTGGAATTGATCTATTGCCATACCACTATTCGCCATAATGGTAGCAGACGTACGTCGAAATGCATGTCCCGTATATTTCTCAGGATCGTCCAATTTAAGATACCGTGCAATTTGCAAGGGACATGATCCAAATGTATTGATACCAACCAATTGACTGGTGCACTTCCCCTTATCATACCGTAAAAAAACTCGGACTGTACTTACATCTTGGGGGCGCAAAGATAATATTGCTTCACCAAGCGCACATAACTAATTGCATCACTATCATCAGCAATAGTAAAACGTCGAGGCTTCACTGTCTTAGATGGTCGGATAGTAATTAGCAATACGCTTCCTTCTTCCTTGATGTCATATAAGAGTAAGTCGCACAATTGACATCTTCTACAAGAGCCAAAGATACCGCAAATGCCTACCACCTTCAAAAATAAATAGTTAATGTTGGGTGCATCTATGAAAAACTTAAGTAAATCATCTTCCTTGAATATATATGCCGTCTTGGCTATGTCATTCTTGCTAATTGCCTTCATGAACGCATGCACTTTCACAAATGATTTCATATCGACCCCTTTGTTTATCCTTTGTGAATTTACACAACTGCTGTCTTCTGAGGATTGGGAGCATACTCTGCGGCACACTGATCCTGACAAAATTGCAGAAAGTATCGTAAACAAGATAAAATTTTATATTAAAGGAAGCACCAACAAAATAAAAGTTAAATGTAAGAAACAATTTGTCAGGCCCTGGATGTCGCAGGGGCTCCTAAATTCAGTAAGGGAAAGAGACAGGCTTAAAAAAATATCCACATGTAATCCTGGAAGCGAACTGGCCTTAAATAAATATAGGGAATATCGAAACAAACTTACCAAGCTCATAGGCAAAACCAAAACACATTACTATAAAACCCTTTTGGATAAGCATACTAATGACCCTAAAAAAATGTGGAATGTTATTCACAGCCTAACAAATGGTAAAGACAGTGTAACACAAATTAAAGCGATCAAAGATGGGAGAGATGTGGTGGTAAGTGATCCAAAATCAATGGCCAATATTCTCAATAAATGCTTTAGCTCAGTAGGGAAGAAACTTGCGAAAAAGATAAATAAATCAGAAGAAAACAGGGAGATTGAAGATATCTGCGAGAATTTTATGTATCTTGCACCCATAACAGAGAGGGAAATCTTAAAAGAAATAACCGGCCTTAAAAACAATACTGCATGTGGGGAAGATGAAATATTTAAATAAATGATCAAAAATCACAAAGAAAAACTAACTAAGCCACTAATGCACTTAATAAATACCATTTTCCAAACAGGAACATTTCCCTCAATTTTTAGAAGTGCTGTTGTAGTACCTGTTTTTAAGGCTGGACACAGGTTAAATGTTAGCAATTACCGACCTATAGCTTTAACTAGTGTCTTGGCTAGGCTTGTTGAAAGGTGCATTAAGGAGAGATTGTGGAGCTACCTTGAAAAATTTAATATTATATCCAAAAATCAATTTAGTTTTAGGAAGGGATATGGAACCAATGATGCAATTGACAAGGTTAGCAATCATGTCGTTTCTTCTTTAAATGAGGGCTCCAAGCCTTTGGCAATCTTCCTAGACTTGTCAAAGGCCTTCGATACTGTGGACCATCGAATTATGATGTCCAAGCTGGAGCGTATCGGTGTTAGGGGTATTGTTCTCAAACTTTTCCAATCATACTTGAGCGACAGAGTACAAAAAGTAAAAATAGGAGACAACTTTAGTAAGGAGGAGGTAGTGGAGTTTGGTGTTCCGCAAGGTACAGTTTTGGGCCCATTACTCTTCCTAATATATGTGAACTCTCTCACAAAAACTCTAGATTATAGAGCTAAAATCTTGTGTTATGCTGATGATACGGCAGTACTTATAAAGGCTGATACCTGGCAAGAATCTCTGGAAATAGCCGAAAAGAGCATGACTATAATAAAACACTGGATGGACAGCAATCTCTTAACGTTGAATGTTCAAAAATCTTTTTATATACCATTCTCTATAAACAACGTAAATATTCCTACTTGTAGCATTGATTTCCACAACCGTACATGTACAGATATCTCAAACTGCAAATGCAGCAACAGTACCTATAGCACAAAAAGACAATATCAAATATTTAGGTGTCTATTTTGACCAGCATATGAGGTGGCATGTACATGTGGATCACATTGTTAAGGCACTTCTGAGAATGGTCTACAAATTTTATGAATTAAGACAAATTGTCTCACAAAAAACAATAAGACAAATTTATCAAGTTCTTGTGCAGCCCATCTTAAATTATGGCATCGCCTCCTGGGGTGCTGCATGTAGCAATGTTTTGGCCTCTTTGTTTATGTCTCAAAAGTATATAGGTACTTAAAGTAATGCTATTTAAAAAAAGGATATACAGTTCTGAAATGCTCTTCAAGGATGCAGGTTTGCTGAACATAAGACAGTTGTATATTGAAGATATTATCAAGAAATACTATAAAAATAAAATTATTTTACCTTATGTAAATCACGAAAAAGAAACTCGATCAATTGCAAATAATTTCATGGCTCTTCCACAAACAAATTTCGCAGCTACTCAAAGACACTACACATATACTCTTCCTAAAATAATCAATTTACTACCCATTAACTATAGAACTCTATCATATAATAAAATTAAGGAGGAATTAAAGGTTTGGATAGTTCGGAATTACGCAGTCATCGTCTCAAATATTCGTTGGTTTCGGGCATAGGCTTCGATACTGTTGTGTATTAGGTACCTAATAAAGATTATTTTTGCTATTTGTGTATATCACAATTAATGTATTTTATTGTTATCGTAATGTTATTCTATTGTTTATTTAATGTTCTAAGTAGTGAATAGTTTTTATATTTGTTTATTTATTTATTTAGTGCACACACAAATTCCTTGAGAATTCATTGTGCACTCTAAACATGTACTAACCTAGAGGATTACTCTATTGTAATAAGTTTTTTTTCTTTTTTTGTAACATTTCAAATATGCAATATACTACTTCAACTTCAAAAAAAGATTTTCATTCCATTTCAATCATTCTGTCAACATTTTAAAAATTTAGATGTTTCTCCAAAATTGTATAAACAAGATCATGTATTAGAACTCACCTTCTATTGTAAGTAGTTCAATTTTATTTATCACTTGTTATTATATTTATATTATTTTTAATTATTATTATTGTAGCATAACTGAAGAAGCTATAAAAATATAGCGAAAGCTTTTATGAAGAAAAAAGAGTTTTTCTTCTGATTTGGCCGCATCCCCACAAAAAAAAAAAATTTCAACATTTATATTTCGAGCCACGAAAAACATTTTCCTAAACTTATACTTTAATATACTATTTTCACATTTTATTTTATTTTATCATTCAGCTCACATTCAATTAAAAAGGTTAATAGTTCGCCCTTAAACTGGACAATAAACACACGAAGAGATCCAATATGCCTACTTGACAAATGAATTAATCGTCTAGAAATTACCGTTCTAGAACGGTTCTCATGTCTCATGGAACAGAGCTATTATTTATATCCAAAAAATTGGTTTTAATTTACGGTTTTAAACTGAAATAGGGAGTGAGAATGAAACACAAAGTTTAGCCTAAAATACTTCACTGGGATATATTTATTAAAAAAATCACAATATAAAAAAAGGGTAAAATGAGTATAAAAAAAATGGAATGTATAAAAATTGCACAGTCAAATATATAAAAAAGAAACGTACAATAGTACGCCTTGGAATGTTTAAAACTTATACGATTAAGTAGGGAACCTTCGAGTAAAAACTAATAACTAAAATAATGATCTAGAAGAATCAGAAATACTTTCTTTCTGATGTTTTTGTAAACAACTTTTACATTATACTTTATATAATTGTACTATAAATTTGCAAATTAAACATATTCACCGGTTTGCGATTAATCAATTACAAGTTCGATCTGGTATCAGGAAAAAAAATAAAAAAAATTGGTTAAGAAAGATAATTGCCTTATTGCTCGATCTGTTTCAAAGATATGTTGTTAATTATTGCTTTAAATTAAAATTTATCTGTAGAAAATAATACCAGATCTTTAACGTTATAGCTACCACAATGAGATCTTAAATAATTATATGTTAAATACTTAAAATAAGTATGTACAAAAATTAGTGATGAAACAATTAGGGATGTAAGTAACGAGCGAGCAATAATTTGAACAATTTGAGCTGTAGATTTGCATTCAATGGAATATGTGTACAAGGGCCGTAATTCTAATTGTTTCATCACAACAAAAATAAACCCAACTAAAAAGTATTAGGCACAGATTTTACATTTAAAATATAATGTTTTAGTACAAAAACTGCGAATAGCCAAAAAAAAATAAATGAAATTGGGGATATTTTTTTTTAATAAAATATAAAAGTCTTCAGTTCTTCTCCTCTGATAGCAAAAAAAAAATCTACAAATACTACAATAAATACTACTTTTTGCCACTCATATTAGCTAACTATTTTTAATATCAATTAATGGCATTCATTTTAAAATGACACGCGAACGTACAATCAATTTTTTTTATATACTATATTATGACTACGTATTGAGTATTAATAATACCAATTTTTTTGTATCTTAATATTTAATACTAAAAAATATTTTGCATTGTCAAAAAACATTCCATTACATAAAGCTTCAAGATAATGGCAAAGCTCTTGCCTCAGATTCCTACACTAGATGCTGCATAGTCAACTATAAAATATTTTTCAGGTAAGAATTTTGCCATGAAACTGACGCTTCTCGTTTCTACAATGATTTTACGTTTCGAATTTGTTGCACTATGAAAATAGAATTATAAATTGGATATCACCTTTCAATTTTCCAGAAACCCTTGAAATATGTAATCATAGCAAAAATACATACAATCTCATGAGCAAACATGCCAAATACATACTTATCATAGCAACTCACTAAGCAATTCTCAGAAGCGCTCCTATTTAGTTGGGTGTGAGATCGGGAGTGAAGTTTCACCAAAAAGTATGGACATTTCATTAATAAGTGGGAATATTCTGCTTCAATGTTTATTGATACATAATTTCGTAAAATCTGTTACAAAAATTGTAAAACATCTCAACATTTTTGTGAAAAGTTGGCCATAATTTCATACCCAACCAAGTCAGGAAACTTCTCTGCATACTTTAGTTTGAGAAACCTAACTCTAGACTTAGAAAGCTTCATATTTGATTCATCAATATTATTTATTTACAATAAATTAATTGAAACAGTTCTACTATCCTTGACATTATTTATTGTTTCTGTTACAATAATGATGTGCAAAAATGTCAAAGATACAAAATCCGCCTTCGCTTAAATAACTGGGAAAGCTTTTCCACTTGCAAGCTAAAATATTTAAATTAGCTTATAATACAGAAGCACATTTGGTATTAAAACTATATTATAAATTCAAATTCCAGATTTCTTAAATTACTATACTTTCACTTTCCTATAATCCATTTTCTAGGCACTCATACTGAAGTTTCTTCGTCTTTTTCCTTTATGCTAGAAATTTATGTTATTTTTTTTTGTAATTTCGTATTTATAATAGTGGGGAGCGATAATCTTACCTTGACCTTGTATGCTATTTGTTAACAGTGTATTCCCAACACCATCTATAAATAAATTATTGTTAGCAACTGAGTACCTGTAACTGTAAGCTTTGAACTATGGTAAGTACCTATATAAATTAATAATAAAAAAATACATTTTTTTGTTTGTTTTTAAGTGCAATGAAAAAACTCATAAATTACTGTATTGTCTCAACCGAGTCTGAAAGCCATAAAACTCCAACATGCTTTAGAGACACCTTAAGAATGTAACATAAACCTGACAGAAAGTCTAAATTCTTTTTTACTTAGTTTGCACAAATTAAAAACTCCTTTACCCTTAGCTACAAAAATTGTTTAGCCCCTTCACCATGTTATGGCATAAATAAAAATTAAAATATGATACTCACGATGATGGTTCTGGTGGCATGCTAGAATGCAGCATTGATGCAGGAGGCATAAGAGGTGAGGGCGATCCTCTTAAACTACCACAAACTGAACCGTGTACTGATCCCAAGACTGAACCTAATTAAAAAAAACAAAAATTATTCACAAATTGAATTAAATAAAAACAATTATTGATGCTTGCCTATTCGAGATCCCATTCTAGAACCAACAGTGGATCCATGATAGTCCAGATTGTTATCATTCGTTACAGGAGACATTATACGACTGCCAGGTTGCGAGGCATATTGGGGCATATTATGCGGCAAGTAATTGGTATGAGCTTGAATATGGTCTTCTTCGGCTAAAAAAAAATATATATGTTCAACTGAAACTGCTCGGGCTCAATATATCATATAATTAAATATTATTGCCTGTAAAAGAATTATGCATTTATGGAAAATTCACTAACCTTCAATGATATTGTCTGACATTCCGGCAAGAGATAAAGACACATTATATTAAATTCAAAAATTATTTTAAAAAAATCTCACCTGTGTAAGGAAACAAATATTTGTCGCCCATATTATGGTGTTTCTCTTCGATATCAGAACGCCTATCATAATCCTGGTAGTTGAGATTATCGTGCGGCATCATTTTATGCATATAATCACCCTTGAAAGATACATTAGAGTTGTAATGATTATTATAGTGGGCTTGCATCATGTACTGTTCTGAATCGATAGTACGCAGACAAGTTTCAGGAGTGACATCTGGATTGGGCAACGGATTTGGTGAATTTTTATGTAGAAATTCGTTGTCAGATCCTGTCTCCGCCGACCAGCGGCCCACTTCTGTAACTGAACGTAATTTTCCATAAAAGTAGTGATTAAAATAAATTTAATTACCATTTGCGTTAGGAAGATACGATTCTGGCAACTGACTTGCCCATCGTGCACCGTAAGTTGGTTGTACTGCAGGGAATAACTGGGAGTTTGTAACCACGTTGAGGGATGGTGGTGTGCCACATCTTGAAACCACATGCTCGGTGATGTTGGGCAGATAACCTTGTCTAAAATTTAAGTAAGTAAGTTACAAATAATGAACTTCAGCAATATTACAGTAAATTTCTGAATCAATTCATCAATCAATCAATCAATCAATTTCTGAATCTGAATCACAATTATTGCTTTGGACTGAAATTTATCTTATGGAACTTTATTCGAGGTGGAAACTTTCATAGGATACTCGATCCAGTTCTAATAGAACAGTACCTGTGCCCCGATTCTTGAAACCAATAGAAAAATTATTCCCTGAACAGCTCCCATATTTTCCTACTCCCACTTTATTCTCTCGGCTTCAAAAATGCATACTCTTGAAAGGAGGGAGTATCTGGGAGGGAGTGAAAATATGTCCATAGTTGCCAAGTGTCGAGTCCCAATTCTGTCCAATCACAGCTTGGAAATTTCTGACAGACAGATGTCACGTGATTTGACACGTGAAAAAAAATAAGTGATCACAGTAAGTCCATCCAAATTTGCTCTCTTTGCTCGCAGATGCAAATACCGAACCCAGCCATAGGTAGCTATACCTATATCAAAACCGTCAACATATTATGAATCTTATTTTTATTTCCATTAAATTTTAATTTTTAATAAAAAATAAGCAAAAGAAAATTAGCAAACACCAGAAAGAAATGCTGCTGGACTTTTCATCCATGTATTCCGGAAAATTCTCCCCTACATTTACAAGGGCTTGTATTTGTACTCCGATAATATAAAGGGTCACTTTGAACATCTTCGTCAAAATCATCATTCTGGATCATTCATAATATTATTCCAAATTAACATAGATTTGTTAACTAATAATAATAATATAAAAAGAAGTTCAAGAACCAACAACACGACACAACGGAATTGGAAAACAAACAAAAACAGATTTCGAAAAATTAGATTGACAAGTTTATATTAGCAATTTCCACTCCCTGTCAAATTTCTCCTGCCTATGACTAATAAAATTTTCAACTCCCTTGTTATAATAAAAATTCCCACAATTTTCCATGAAAATATTTCAAGAATAGTGTCATTTCACATATTTGGGAGCTATACCTACTTTCTCTCATAATTTCTGTTGAATTCTCAATAATGCGATAATCTTTAGAAAATCAAAATAATTTCGTTTCAAGCGGGTGGACCATGCAATTCGGATTTCATGCTGAGGGGTGGTCCGTAGCGAGGCGACGAGGATACTACGGACTTGCACAAGGTAACGAAATATGAAAGAGTCTAGCCCGAATCTCCGTTACAAGCAGAAGTGATAAGAATTTTTTTACCGCATCCCTTTTTTCAAGTTCAGACAAGCGTTTGTAACGGGCCTTCACAAAATTATTGTAAGCTTCCTTTTTTTGTATGTGTGTGTGATGGATTGAACAATTATTGATTTGTGATTTTTTTGATGTAAGAAGAAAGTGTTAATTTGCTTATTTGAGCATTTTTCAAATAAAGCTTAGAATAAGGAAACGTATTTCGTTTTCTTTCCTCGTCAATTAACCCATAGCAAATTTAAGAAAAGGAACCCGCGACTATGGAACGGCAGGACTAAAGTAATTCTGCTCCCCTTGGATGTGGCGCGAAACACAAGAAAATCGCCCAATTTCTACTCCCTGAAACTCAAGAATATGGGCACTGTTTTATTTTACCTTGATATATGATTTCTTCCATGATGTCTCCTAGTGCTAGATTCATCATCGTCACTAGAATGGCTCGAAGCGAGATCCAAACTTCTCCCTTCAGATCCATCGCTATCAGAGTCACTATCGCCACGTTCTCTTCCTTCTGCTACTGCTTCGTTATCTCCGCCTCTATCCCTGCGGCGTGTTCTCCTTTCTTCGTGTTCAAAACCTCTGAGATAAGATGGAACGTCGCTAGTCGAATTGTAATTTGACGTCGAGGTCGAGGTGTTACGTAAATGGGTGTCGCTCCTTGCAATGAGGATAATAATAGGTATTTTTATTTTATCTTAAATTGTAATTATAAAGGTTACCTGTATGGACTTGATCCTGTTTTTGTTGTAGATCGAGAAGTGGTACTAGACGCAGAAATGCCTATATTTCTTCTGTTTGGATCCAGGCTAGAATGATATGCTAATGCAGACCGCTAAAAAGAAAATTAGAAAATGTAGTCACATTTTTTCAAACCCGACGTTGATAGTGATTTTGTTTGGAAATTTTCTAATTCTAAAAAGTAAATTTGTATGACTTACAGATTGTGCTGAAATATTCTGACTGCTTGTACTGGGAACCCCTACAACAGATTGGGTATCCAACAAAGGTACCTTCTTTCCCATACATCTCATAAAAGTTCTAAAATCAATTGCATCAAATTAAATACTTCCTCAGCAAAATATCTCAATAAACTTAAATTATAAATTTACTGGAAGGAATTTTAATGTTCCACTTTATTGAGCAAAGCGTTAAGTACCTACCTTAACAAATTCTGTCTAACACGGTTATTGGCAAAACAATATCCGGCCAACGAGAAAGCAGCATGTACCAGCACAGCAACCGATAAAAATGGCATCAGAAGCGGATGTCGTTCTGATGCTGCCAAAAGGGCCAAAACCCAAGTAATCCCTAGTAGAGGTAGAGCTATGACAGACACCCACAGTAGAGTCCTGAGCAGAAAAATAAAATTAAAATAACATGTTGCTATAATAGAGCAAACCTACCTTAAATTTCCAAATCCCAAAACGTGATCTTGAATAGTAAACGCTGCTCTTATCGATAACAGCAATATGCAAAGATTAACAAAAGTTAGCAGACATGTGGGTCCAACCAAACTCCATACAACACTTTCATAAAGTGACACCCAACAGCTGATAACAAATTAAAATTTAAAACATATTGTACGAATTTGAAATAAAACTTACAAGTAATAATTTCCATATTGATGTGCTCTAACGCCTACAGCCAAAGCAACCACAACAGCAGGTCCCACATATCCCATGCTGTAATAAAATCTCATTGGACCATGGTTGATATCTCTCATTTCTGTTAACATTCTATAAAGATGTATTGCGTCCACTAACATCCAAGAAAATGCGGCTAGCCAAAGATAGTGTAGACCTATTGCAACTAATTTACAAGAAAACTAAAACAAAAAAATGTAGTTTTCATTTAATTACTAGATGCAATTTTGCTATACCTCGATTGAAACCATGGACTTCCTAGCTTTCAAGGCAACAAAATATAAGAGTTCGGCCAAAAACACGCACAAAACCAGATTCTTTCTGATGGTATTGGAATTGGTTTGTAAACCTCTGATGAGAGCTAAAATAAGGTAAGTTCCAAGCAAAAGTGGTAAGGAGAGTGAGAAACAGCTGTAGCTTGAAATGTCCTCTAACAAAGATGGTTCAGGAATGTACTAAAAAAAAGATAAAACAATTAAATGTGTTGATTTATATCAGCATTGACCTCTATTGCAAATTAACAATAGACAAAATGACAGCAACTATTATCATTTTAATATATATGTACCTCTAAATCCACAACATCTACAAGAACAGCAAAAGTTGTTAAATGATTGCAGCTGCAGTTGACAACAATTGGATGATTTTCTCCAACCTCAAACCAGTTATCATCTAGCTCAGTACGGCAACCTACTCTGGACCATTCACCGAATCTATAATAATTGAAACTTGAAAAATAGATTCAAAATCGTCCTGTGCAAAGTATAAATTGAATTCTTATCATCAGGGAATAACGCAAAAATAAAATTGAAAACCTTCAATTATCACATAGAAGAAACTTATTTTTAACCTTAAAGAATGATTAGAGGAGCAACAACAATAAATGCGAGTGATACTGTTTTGAAAAATTCTTAAGGAGTTAAACCGTCATAAGAAGCGTTTTAGAGCAGTGGACACTTCGCTATCTTTTTCAGTTATTACATAAGACCGTATGACGTTTCTTATGACAATCAAAATGAAACTTCTAGCAAATTATTTAATTTTTTTTGTGTTACAGCACTGATATTTATTTTTACTCATGACCATTACCCTCTAGTTGTAGACCAATGAACACATTGGGGATTAGATCTCTCATTGAACACCGTATCACTGGAATTCAGCCACACCTGCAACCTTATAGGAGATTTCAAAGGAATTCCAGACAAACTTCTATATAAAAGCTTCTTTCTGATATCCCGGTCTCTTTTCAATCTAGATCTCAAATACTGAGCTTCGTTCTCGTGCATTTTCACTTCAGGCTCTACGAAAATTTTTTTGGTCCATTTATCATCTGGCATATTTATATCTGGAAGCTTGACGTTGCTGAGATCGTGTTCAGTGGAACTTTCTATAGCATCTACATATTCTGGTACTAAAACTCCGATAGACATAAGAGGAGATCCTATTGTTATGTCAACTCCCCAACGACGAACCACTGATTCGTCATATTTCTTTGGCAAAAGCCCTCCTGCTTCTTTATATTGTATATAACTAACAATTGCTCCATCCCCTGGCAAACTATGTTTTGTGATAATTTCGCCATGTTCCAAAGGTTTTATACCAAGTAAAGATAATGGTATAAAAATTCTAGAGTTCTGATCGAACTTAGATTTATCTAGAAGATAGTTGTTATATTTTGGAAATCCTACTAAAGGCCCTTGCACTTGGATTTTGTTGTCTTGCAAAAATTGAGATGTATCTGGAAGAACTACACTTTCAGTAGTGTAGGATTGGCCGTTGGAGAGCATAGGAAGACCTATTTCAGGTTCATAGCCATAAAGGGATTCTGGAGTGACAATATCGAGACCCAAAACTAGAAATAATAAAGATTTTTGTTTGTGAAGTTTTCCAACATTGAAAATTCTTACCCATGTTTGGAGAAACAATCTCAAAAGGACTAGTATAAGTATCGTGTTGACTTTCCAACAAAATATTAATGTACTTCTCCATAAAACTGACCAAATTCTCCACACTTTGTCCAGTCAACTGCTTAATCCTACTCCAATGCGCCGAATATTTATCAGATAAAATTATATTGATAGCATTGACGACGTTGCTTATGTAGTCTTTGTCTTGACTGTGAGTCAAATTTAGACCGTGCACACGAGATTCGTAATTGAGAAGCTCCTTAATTAGGTCGTAAGATATCAGAACATCGGCTCCGTACAGCTCCTTTGTAGTATTCGTTGCTTTGTTGAGGTCGTGGGCCAATTTAATTGCCACAAAGGAGTTGAGAGAAAGTTCGCCAGATTCGATTTTCGAAAGCTGAAAATTAATTAACTGGCATCAGAAATTTGAAGGACCCACAAAAGCAGCAAAAAATAGATAAAAAATTTCCGAGAAAATTATTTTCAAACTCCGAATATTCCTACCTGTTCGCGCAGTTCAACAAATCTATCCGAAGTACAATTGAACATATCAGGTTCTTGCCATCCTCCCAATTCGTTGTCACAATTTCTAGACGCTTTGCCATGGGAACCTTTAGGACACGACTCGATAGCTTCTTGGCCAAATACTGCCCTCGACCACCAAATAGAGTTCGTGGAAGACCTTGGACAGCCATCATATATCACTGCAATAAAGATTTCGATAGAGAACTCTAGTTTTTGCGTTAGTATGTTACATAAAAAGTATTTAGAACTTATTTAGAAAGTTTGAGCTCTATAAATTTTATAACTATGTAGAAATGCAGTAAGATTTTGAAAAAGGAGAAAACAGTAAATTAGATTGCTGGGGACGTTAACATAAGAATCACTTTTTTTTTCACAACACAAAAACAATGCTATGAAGATGATAAGAAATTGCAATAATAATAATTGAAAAAGTTGACTCACCTTCACATCCTTTTAATGTTATTTCAGCATAAGCATTAGGACAAGAATCACATTTTTGTCCAATAACTCCATCCCTGCAGCTACATTTGCCAGTTTCATGATCACACTGGCTACTAAATGATCCCACACTGTAACAATCGCATGGAATGCACTCTTTTGACCCTTTTGGTTGATAATGGTTCTCCCTGCAGTGACATTTTCCTGTAGTCTTTTCACAATCTGGATTATACCCAGCTTCCACGTCACATTCGCACGGACCACAAACAGGATATCCCCACCAACTGGCTGGACAAGGCTGGGCTTGCTTCATTTCGCAATATTCCCCGGAGAATTCTGATGAATTGCAATGACATTCGTATCCACGTTGATCGAGGAAATTTCGTTTACAAGAAGCTCCATTTTCGCAAGGGCTAACAGAACAAACTTCTTGGCAAAGAGGTCCGACGTGACCTTCGTTACATTCACATTGTGACTTTCCCCAACCCACTTTACATTCAGAATCACTTGGGCATTGACTTTGGCATTCCATCATTAAAAAGCAACCTTCTTCAACATTATCCTTGACAGTAGGCCTGTTTAATATTGTCTGTTGATTTCCTATTCTAACATCTTGAATGCAACCTTCTAAATAATTATATCCCGCATTCAAGCTTGTATAGCTATTATCTGGTCCTCCAATGAGAATTTTACCAACATACAACCCTTGGATTTTTTCAGAAAAGGGCATTATAACATGATACTCTCCATGGTCAATGGAAAATTTAATTTCTGTTCCAATCCAGGAAACTTCAATGTGATGCCATTCCCCATCTGATAAGTACATTGATGTTAATGTTAAAGAATCTCCATTATAAACATACATTAAAAAGCCTTTATGGAGCGATAATACTGCAGAACTATTTTGTCCTACTTGGATTGACATTAGGAAGGTATCTTCTTGCAAAGTTCTTAAGGAGACCGCGTTGAGCCAAGGCAATTGAATAGGCCGTAATAAAGGGTTGAATGATAGCATGCCGTCTCCAGAAAAGTGCCAAGGCAGGCTAATTTTTTCACTACAATCTCTCCCACCCCAACCTTCTTGGCATATACATTTAAATACAGCCCATCCTTCAATACAGGTGGCGTCATTTTTACAAGGGTTGCTGCTACAAAATGGGCGTTTTTCTGGACAACCAATGGAAGTACCATTGTTAGTTACAAAAGAATTTAAATCAACAAACTTATAGTCGACTTCAAAGTTCGAAATGCAGCCTTCATAATGGAAGTTTTGTATTTGGAATTTGGCTGATAGTGATGGTAACCCTCCCAGTTGAAGTGGGCCAGTCAAGTCTAGGAATCTATGGCAAGTTTCTGTTAAAGATGCACAGCGGGCTTCTAGAGTGTGCTCAGCGTAACTTGCACATGCCCATTTGCCTCCTAATTCTCGTCCATGTTTAAGGGCTAAAGCAGTATCACAATCGTCAATGGACAGGGTAGCGGATTTGTTATAGTAATTTACTGTCACGGAGTGCCATTTTCCATCAGAAACGCCTCCTGGAATTGTTGCTATCACTTTTGTTACTGAGCTACCTAACGAAAACGAGAATTGTACATTCCCTCTAACAATTTCCAAGGCAATAAAGTCATGTTGTTCATTATAACGTCCATTGTACAACAATAATCCATTTCTATTTTGTGTGGCAAATCTCATTTTCAATCTTAGCTGATGTCTGTTTTTCAAACTGGGAAAAGTTAAAAATGAAGATTTTGTAAAACTCCTGCTTTTTAACTCACAAGTAGAAGTATAATGTTCCTTATCGGCGCTAAAAGCACAATCTTCACAAATGAAACCTCCATTTTTGCCTTGTTTTGGATTGCAAGTATAGTCGTTGTGGCAATTACTTGGCTTGCACGATTCCGCCGTTAAAGGAATTTCACAATTAACTCCGGTATAATTTGAGGAACACACGCAAGTGTAGCCTCCTTCTCTTACTTTGCAAACGCCATTGTTCTTACATGGGGAAGAATAACATAAATTAACTTCTGTATCACATAAATAGTGTTCTCGAGAACCAGTAAAGCCTTTGGGGCATTGACAAGTGAAAGTCGTTACAGGATAAATTGGCCTGAATAATACTGTGTCACTGTGAATAAATCCTGAAGCATTTCCGAATTTCAATACTGTCAAACATTCCTCATAGTTAAGACATGGTTCTCGAACACATAAATTATCATCGAACGGCAATATTTGTACAGTTGACAGCCTAGCAAGTATGCCTCTATTCAAATAAACACGTTCTTGCAAAAATTGAGGAGAATAAAATTCTTCTTTTGGAGTGTCGGGCCTTTTAACTGAAAAACTAACATTCAATATTTTAGAGCTCACATCTGCATCGTCTTGAATACTGAAAAGATAGACGTTCTCTTTTGGACAAGGTATAATTGCTGCCAAAGCATCAATAAAAAAATTTAAAAGCGGAGACAAAAATGCTTCCTTAGTCATCTGATTTAATCTTATAGTTATAGAGTTATAGAGCATATCTTTCGTTATTAGCCTTACTGTCAGCTGCATTACAGCTTTAACTTCATTAACTCCGTCAGTCACAGACACTTCCATTGAAGCTATTTTAGGAACATTCGTATTTAATTGAGGTGATAATACTAGTTGTCCTGTGGAATCGTTCAGGGCAATTAAATTAGCGTTGTTACCAGTCAGTATTTTGTAATGTAACTTATCAGAAACATCAGCATCAAAAGCAGGCACTTTTCCTACTGGTCCTGTAGGAAAACAATCTTTGAAATTATTGAATATTACGTGAAAATCTTTGAGCATTGGTGCATTATCATTCACATCTGTTACAATAATTTCCACATGAGCATCGCTTCTTAATGGAGGACTTGCAGCCCTAACTATTATATCGTATTTCTTTTTAGAAGTTTCATAATCTAATTCCGTCATAGTGAGCAATTCAGCTTTCTCTGAGCCGGGCCTAGTAATCAAAGAAAAACTTTGAGCATCTTCTCCTCCGATAATAGAGTATTGCACTATAGCATTAACACCTTCATCAGGGTCTTTGGCATATATTTCTCCAACCGTAGAACCTATAGGGCTATTTTCTGGAATATATAAAATAATTTTATCTGAAGCAAATGCGGGCGGCGAGTCATTAATATCGTCTATTCTTATAGTTACTGGGACTGAGCTGCTTAAAGTTGGCGAGCCTCTATCGATAGCATACGCTTCTAGTTCATAAAAAGCAACAGATTCCCTGTCAAGGCCTTTATTTGTCCGAATAACCCCACTAGCTGGGTCAATAACAAATGAGCCATCCTCTTGATCTTTTTCACTAAGAGTATAACGAATTCGCCCATTCAAACCAATATCTGCATCAGTAGCTGCTACTTGTACAACAGAAGTTCCTACTAAAGCATCTTCAGAAACACTTCCCGAGTAAGCTGGCTGCTTGAATTGTGGATAATTATCGTTGACATCTGTGACAGATATTTCTACATCAGTTGTGTCAGACATAGGAGGATTCCCACCATCTCTTGCAGTGACAGTCAACAAATATCCAGCCAAAGTTTCTCTATCAAGAGGCTTAGTTGTTATAATAGCACCAGTTTGAGGATTTATGGTAAAAGTTGAATCAGAATTACTATCATCTCCTAAAGAGTAAGTTATTTGTGCATTTATACCAACATCGTTATCGGTGGCACTCACAACTAATACAGTTGTCCCTACTATGGCATCTTCATAAACACTAGCAGAATAGGGTGCATTTTCAAAGACTGGAGCATAATTATTGGCATCAGTGATGTTGACATAAATTGTAGCTGTGTCAGTGCGTCCTCCAGAATCCGAGGCAGTCACTGTTAAAATATAACGTTTTTCTTGTTTATAATCTAAAGGTTGAGCTACAGTAATCAAACCACGTCCATTTTGAGAAGTTATCGCAAAACGTCCTCTGGTATTGCCATTCGTAATTTCATAATGTAGCTTATTGTCCTCATCGGCATCCGAGGCAGTTACAGTAGTGACTGGGGTGCCTGGTGAATCGTTTTCAGCCACCACAGATTCGTAGAGTTTAGGCTCAAATACTGGATCGTTGTCGTTAATGTCTTGTACACTGATAATGACGCTAGCACTGGCTGATTGTGGTGGTATACCTTGATCGGCGGCAATTACTTGAAACATAAATTTAGACTGTTTTTCTCTGTCCAGTTCTCTTGTAGTAAAAATCCAGCCAGATTGGGCATCTACACCCAACGGTAAATCCTGAGTACTACCTCCAGTTGCATCTCTAGGCGATATTGTATATTTAATTTCGGAATTAGGCCCTTCGTCGGCGTCGTAGGCTTGAACTTTTACAATACTATATCCCGTAGGCACGTTTTCTTGAACACTTTCTTGAAAAAGGGATGTATAAAACCTCGGGGCATTGTCATTAACATCCTTAACATTAACTAGAAGTTGTGTGGTATTTGATCTTGCAGGGCTCCCGCCATCTTGTGCTCTTATTACCAATCTATAGCTCCGTAAAGTTTCATAATCCAATGGTTTAACTAAAGTTACATCACCACTTAAACTGTCAATGGCAAATTGTGATTGAGTATTTCCGCTTATAATAGCATATCTAATTGCTGCGTTAACGCCCTGATCAGCATCAGTAGCTTTTATATGAGCTACAATAGGATTTTCAGCCCAATTTATGTCTTCATTCAAAAGAACAGAATAAGTTCTTTCTGAAAATTGAGGATAATTATCATTATCATCTGATATACTAATGACAACGGTTGCTGATGATGATCTTCTAGATGCTTGCGGATTAGCTAAGTCACTAGCTCCGACGATTAAGGTGTATACTTCAGTAGTTTCCCTATCAAGTAAACCTCTTGTGGTTATAACACCAGTTTTAGCATCGATTTTAAATGCCTGATTATCTTCTTCTTCAGTCGAAGTTCCCCCGCCATTTATGCTATCAATGTAATATTCAACTTCAGCGTTTTTGCCAATATCTTGATCTGTAGCTTTGAGGGTAATGACTGTTGTACCTACACTAACGCTTTCTCTTATACTAGCATCGTATTCGTTCATTTCAAATACCGGGGAATGATCGTTGGCATCTTGTACATTGATTTGTAACATCGTTGTTCCAGATCTAAATGGAAAAGTATCATCTAGAGCGGTGACTCGAAAATAATGAACATCAACCAGTTCTCTATCTAATTGAACTTTAGTACTAACAACTCCTGTTTTTGGATCAATATCAAACATGGATTGGGTTCTGGAATCTAATAAGCTAGTCATAGAGTAGGTTATAGGGCTATTTTCTGGATCTCTAGCTTTAACGCTGGTAACTATGACGGGAGGTTCACATTCTTCTAGTACACTGGCTACATATAAATGTTGCTCAAAAAATGGCGATTGATTTCTTAATTCCCGTCTTATTCGTTTAGCGATGTCAGTGTCATTGAATTGTTGATGGTGATAAACAATTTTTAATCTATGTTCTGAATTCAATAGGCTTACATTATTACACTGTGACGTAAATAAAATGGCTACTTTCCACATAGGTTCCACAATACAAACATCTCTGCTAGCTACTAGATCGCCTTGACTATGCTCTATTTCAAACCGATCGTCACTAACATAATGAAATTTAACTGTACAATGCTCTAAAATAGTCAATGGCAGAAAATTCATAATTGAGTTAACAAATTGAGATTGCTTTAGACAGATCTTCCTCCATTTTCCGGCGGTTGGTATAGCAAAAGAAGCATAGGTTTCCGATACCCATTGTCGTGCTTCGTTTATTTTTTCTCTAACAGATGTATGAATATGGGAAAATGGATTCCAAACATTATCGGTCCTCTGACTTCTTCGCTCCCTTCTAAATTCATCTAAATATTCGAGATCTTCTTGAGCAGGATGATCGGTACAGTCTTTTCCTGTGATAAATATCCGTAAAGGTAAACTATAGTAATCTATATCTCTTATCCTATTAGAAGTTGAGTCGATATGTACAGTAAATAACGTCGGATAATATAAACCATTACACTGTAAACCTTCTAGCAAAGATACTTGGCCGTTTTTCGAGTCTACATGTAAAAGAGATTGTACAAAAGGAGCAGATCTTTTTGTGCTTATAGTATAAACTCTGTCAGATCCCAGTCTAAATACCGAGGCATTGAAGATGATATCTCCGGGCAGTAGTGTGTCGTCTACCAAGAGTAGATAGGAATTGGTCCGTTGAAAATATAAAAAACATAGCAACAAAAATATATACAGCTTTTGGAATTTGTTACTGTCAACCATGAGGGTATATGGATCGATCATTTTTTACTGGACTGAACATGTTCAATGGTTAGGTGAAATTGAAGGTCTGGTTGAGCGGAGGTGGTTCCATGAATTCTGGAAAAGAAGAAAAATTATATTAGTTTTACAATGAATAAAGATACCTTCCATAAATTAAAATATTTGATGGGTTAGATTAGCCGCAATTTCCCGGATTACAATTAAAAGCTTCAAAGTCCTTTTGTCGCAAATGCGGCCTTGTTGCTTGATTCTAGGCAAACTTTAATTTATTGTGCATTACTGTCGCATTAAACCCAGAAACTAAATCTTGATAAATTAAGGATTGAGGATAACTGAAATATTTTGAATGAGAGAAAAGATGTGTAACAACAACTTTTAATTGGCGTCAGGAAATTATGTCAATAAGCCAGTTATTTTTTCATCCTTCTTCAAATGATAAAACAACGACTACAAGTTTTCTATCATGTTACATCTGGTGCTTTTGGTAATGGACATCAAGCGGAAGGTCGTTGGTATTCCCATTATTTATTGCATCTATAGTTCTTAGCCTTAGGTAGTTGGTATATAACTACCTATGTATTGTATACCTAAATACTTGCATGCATGCTTTATATTTGATGATTATAATTCTGCAAAATTCCAAGAAAACTTCATTTCCTGGGTAATTTAAACAACATTTGGTATACATTTAACGAGAACAACCGATAGATTATTACGTTAGAAACGTAGAAGTAGAAATTGCTTATTAGCGTGTCCGTATGAAATGAACTACTTAAAATTTGAAAAAAATGTTAATACCGCTGAGTATCAGCGCAGTCTAGTTTATAAAATTGCATTTCAGTCAGGGTAACTTTGCTCGAATCTGACATACCATTTCCCAAACAGGTTGTTAAGCGCGATCAGGTCAAAGACTACCTCGCTCTAGGTAGGTATAAAAACCAAAAAGCCAGGTGTTTTAGTAATTTCCAAATTTTTATCTAATTATATAGCTAGTTCAGAGCCCAAGCCGAAGATCGGTAGAATGGATAAAGCAGCGAAAGGTTTTATTAGCTGAGATTGTAACATTTTGTTCTTAATATTCTCTAGTCAGGCGCGGTGTTTAAGAATATTTTTACTTGTGAAATTCACTGTTAGAGTAACAAGCATCAGTCATTTGATAGTACAAATTAGACTATCGTAGAACTAGCATTTTTAAAGACTCCTTGATAGGCATTGAATGTTGAAGACGAGGCGAGAGGACAAATTTAATAAAAAAAAATATCAAATTTTATGAGCCAGAAATAAGTACCTCTAAGAAACAAACATAAAATAAAATATTCTGATGTTTATCGACCACATAATGAATTTAACGATCCCAAAATTCTCCTTTTATAAATGTAATAAATATAATGGCTTTTCTTTAACGATTCAAAACATATGGTCTCCAGATTTATTTCTACATTCTACACGAAATGCCAATTAAAACAATCAAGAAAAACCAAGTAAATGCTCTTTAAAAAAGGCCTTGGATATCAACCATGATAGACAGAGACCGGTTGGCGTTACTCATTATACGGTTGTTGCCCTTCAGGAGCAGCTTTTTGCCCTTTAAAATCTAATCTTTGACGATTTAAAGCCACTTTCGTAATAACTTAACCAAACAATAAACCATAATAGAGTATGAATAAATTAATTAATTCTGTCTCTATTACACTAATATAGATAAAATGTATATGCCCTTTTTTCTACAAATTGTTGTGCTAGGCATTTGTTTTATTTGTCCAAGTTGCTCTTAAATAATTTGTTTCAAACCCTTACGGACAGAAGGCAGATCATTAATTCTAAGCAGAATTGTATGTCTGGGGTCGAACATTATGTAGTTTAAAAATACGTGAACCTGCAACTTTCAATCGCAATAGAAGTGGTTTCGCTAATTGCATTTCGTGAGTCTCAAGAAACATTTACGCTAATTTTTCAATTTTAGTGCCCCTTTAATCTAGGCTAATTATTATAGGGCCGCTGCAAATTTTTCAAAGACCTCTACATAATACTTCAAAATTTATTTTCATTTTGCAAACTAAAGAGGGAACTTCAGGAAAGCTTTTTTGAAAACTTTATGTCTTGATTAATTTCTTAGCTAAAACTTCTGAAATAATGAGGCCCCGAGTGGTTTTCTTTTTAAAGACGAATTTTTAATGGGTGAAACTTTAGATTATGAAAGAAGCGGCAGATTAGGTTGACTTTTCAAAGGCAACTTGAGCCATTTGAGTTTTTTTTTTTTAATTCGAGAGCATTCCATCGATTTAGCAATGTAAAAGGATTATGGCCCAGGCTCTTATTGTTTTAGCTATCATATGATTCCAACTTGCAGTGGAGTCAATTCGAAATTTTACTATATCTTTGTTTAGTTTAGCAAGAACTAGCCAATACACGAAATAGAATTAGACATAACAAGAATAAGACGGTATTGGAAACAAAAATTTCCGTCTGGAATAGTCTTTGGAATCTGATAGAAGTCCGGTTCTTCCAAATTTCTTACGCATTATGTTTTTCTTATTGGGGTTGCAGGTAAAAGATAATAGAATATTGAGCTTCAACGTTGATAATTTGATTTGATAATTATTTTCACTAACCTAATATAAGATTATATAATTACTGATTAAATGGAAATACAAAAAAAAAGCTCGATCATGTAATTACATAATACTCTTTTTTTTGTAGTCGCCAAACGTTTGCGCAAATTTTAGCTGCATGGACATTTTTACGATCGAAAATCCCTGTTTTTTTTGTCAAGGGGGAACGCGTAAGCTGAGATTATTCCCTAGACAGATGACCGTGACAAAATTTGCGTAAACGGAAAAATTCGTTCGAGAATGATGACCCTTAAATGGCGGCTCTCACCCTGTCCATGACCTGAACTATGCCGGCAGAAATATTGAAGCAATCTTTGGCACGCAAGAGGTTTTATTTGTATGCAGGTGGATTATTAAACAAACTATATTTTTACCGCATATTAAGTCAAAAAGAGGAATAATATGCGGTAGAACATAGGGAACCACCCTGTTTCCTGTTTGAATTAGATTTGGTATTTTATATTATTTTTGTTGGGAAATGGACTAAGAAATAAAAGAACTTGTTAATTATCGATATTCAATATATTTATTATATCGAACACAGCGTGGAAAGCAGAGCGTGTGAACTCATAGAAATAACATCAAGACAAAGAATTACAAACCCTTTCTTAAACGATTCCTCATCTGTTTATCTTACATATAAAAACTATTATAAACACATTCAGTCATCCATAGCTGCGATATAAATTAGCAAAGTATAGGCTAATAATCAAAGTTTAATTTATTAATTATTTTTGTTTCACTGATATAAATATCAGTTTATCCAACAATTTTATCCATTATTTAGGTAAGTACTTCACAGGCAATATTTAACCCTTTTACTAAGACACTATTTTTCTTATGATTTATGTTATATTGTTCGGATTATAATGTATAAAAGTAGGAGCAAAAGTATTTCCAAATTGTCAAAAACATATCAGAGAAGAGACAAGAAACGGTTTAGATTAGTGGAGGATAACGATTCAACTTTTGTCCAAAATCAACCCAAAGGTTCAAGATAGTGCTTATAACTTACTTCGAAGAATTGCTACTTTCAAAATAAGCCCTTACAGTTATTTGCCATTAATTTCATATAATTGCATTTTCTATCATAACCTTATTATCAGAAATATTCAGATGAAGCCTTACCTCAACATTTTCTTTACCCCAATCTGACTAAGTAATTAAATCCGCTTTTAATTTTTCAATTACAAATTGTGTAAGGTCATCCTTTGAAGCCCATCTTAATCAGACTTTTCTTTAAAAATTAAAAGATTAAAAGGTCTTCCCATTAAAACTTTGTTTGCAAGGAAAACACTTAAGGCCTCATAGTTTTTTTGTTTAGTTTGGTTTGCAAATTTAAACAGTTTGAAATTGGTCTCTAAAAATTGGTAGTGGCAGTAATTATAATAAATTGAACCCTGTAAATTACTAGAGATTCTTTCACCAGTTTTGAGTCCATAAAACATAATTTTCTTTAAATATGGAAACGCCTGGGGGACTGGTTTCTAAAGATATCTAGTTTATTCGTGCTCAATGGCAATCGTAAATCAGGAATAAATAATCAAATTGAGAGTACATAGATTTGAACTTCATTATTCCCTAGAGACCGAAGGAGATTATTTACCCTATATATAGACCAATCTTTAATCACTGTTATTGTTTAAGTTCTGAATATCAGCCATAAACCATTATTTTGACGTCAAGTCTGGACCCTTGTTACCCCATTATCCCTTTCCAAAATCGGAGGGTGGTTTTGGCATGAAACAGGGCGTGTCAGACTGGGCTTTTATGTTTTGTATCAAGTTCTATTTATATAACATGCAAAGAATTAACAATAAAATGATTATGTAACAAATATGCAGGATGTTCAGTTGGGAATTTATTTTTGATCAGGTCATACTCGTTTAGCAAATAAGGGAATATGAAAGGAAAATATTCTCACAAAGGTTAATCAAAGGATGTTTTATCCAAATCCATTGATATTGCAAATTAATAGCTTTTTTTGAAAGCTTTTTTTATCATCAGATGAAAATCCTCATCAAATATTAAATTTCAAAGAGATTTTTCCACATCATATTTTTAATGATCATTAATAATCTCTGGGTTATGCAAAAAAGTGATAAGGTTAGATTTAAAAAAAAAATAAACTCTTGATGTTTAGTAATTGACACAGATAACAACTACTTCAATTAGGAATATTATATTTTTGACTATACATCTATAACTAAGGCTGTAAATGTATCAAATTTAATTTATTATGTTACAGAAAAATATTCCATTGGCGTTGGCATAATTAACAGGTTTGTAGAGAATTTAATTGGCTTCAATTAGAGCTCAATTAAACTGAAATCGGATTAAAATTAACGAAGCTGTGAGGCAAGAACTGTCTCAGTGTCATTTTTGGACAATTTTCAATGTTTGATAAATTCAATTTTGAAGCTTGTCAGGTGCAAGACTGATGAAATTATCTTAATTAACAGGTTTGTAGAGAATTTAAGTAGC